ATTAACAAGAAAACAGACTTACCGCCGGCAAGTCAGAGAGATAGCTCCCAACCGCAGCACTCGCCAAGGCGCATACCTGGCCGCTATCCATCGATGCGCTCGCCGATGACTGTCGATGCTGATTTCAAGAATCAACTCTCACCAACACATCGCTCGGCCGATTTAGACCCCTATCGCCCGGAAATACTGTCTCCTGAGCTGATCAAGAAAGCGGCTAGGCTGGACGCTGACTACACTGCCAAGTATGTGTTTCAAGCCCTTGTTGGACTGTACGTGGTGTTTGTCATTATCGGCCTCCCATGCTTCACATGGCTGCTGTACTTTGAGTTAAGTCAGATAAGACCGGCGGTGGAAGAGCCGACTCACCCTATGAAATACCTCTACAGACCAGAGCTGGTCGAGGTGTCCGAGGACCTGATGTGGAAAGTCAATGAGAACCTATGAGATGGGTGGATAAGCAGAGCGATGACGATGTTGACGTCAACAACTGCCGTCCAATATGCTGCTGTTGAAATGTCCCGATCACCCGTGGCATGTCAGAATGTCAAGCATGGGTATGTAGCGTTCCGACGCTGTGATAGCACGTTGAAATGGCTGATTGCTGGTTGCGATGCCTGATCTTGGTTTTGTTCAAGAAGTTTGATCATGATATTTGATCATGATGTTTGATCATGATGTTTGATCATGATGTTTGATCATGATGTTTGATCATGATGTTTGATCATGATATTTGATCATGATGTTTGATCATGGTGTTTGATCATGATGTTGATCAAGAGAGGCTTTATCATGGTTTTGAACTTTTGATCATGATGCTTGATCATGGTTGTGACACGCTGCCCAGTGGTCTGTCAGTGTGGACTGCTCATGGCCCGCAGAGAATAGGCAAACAGTGTACACGTACGTACCTGCACATGTACAAGTCACAGGTTCTGCAAACGTCCGCTCTCAGACGACATTCATATACATGTAGCCAAGACGTTGGTTCTGCGAGAGAGTAGTTTTACTCGCTGTTCAGGCAACTGGCCGTGCAACCAGTTGTTCTGCAGTGCTGCATGAAGGACAGACCTAGAGCTTGAACCCTGGTCACCGGAACAAGCGCAGCCATGATGCTGTGCATCTGCTGGTGTTTTTATTGCTATCTCAGCTGCGCTGCTGGTAGCAGTGCGTTGAATAGAGTGGACGTAATCAGTCCTCGCTTTTGTAATTTCTCTGCTGAGTTAGCAGTTGAGCTGTAGTACTACAGTACTGGGTGCAGTGTTGCTGCATGCTTCTGTTCTACCGAGCCAGTTTTACGGCTCCTTCCTTGTTGCGTTATGTTTTACTTTTATCATGCGGTGGTGCATTATTTTTTGCTGTTTGGGTATTAGGGGAATGGTGTTGTTTGTGCCATGCCTTTACGTTTATGTTTGGTCACTATCTTCTTTTTTTTAAATGTATTTCTCTTTACTCGCTGGTGTTAGCATGGACAAGCAGTCGCTGTGTGCTGGTCATGCAGGTCACCTGCAGCTTAGCATGTCTTAGTTTCACGCTTAGTGCAGTCAGGATTCCAACTGAACAGTTCATTTGTAGCAACCTCTTTCTGGTAATGTTAGGAAATAATGTCAGGTGCTGGGCAACGACCCTGGTATTTCGGGCACTTGCCTATGCACTTGAAGACAGCACAGGATGCACTGCTGGATGAATTTTCCATGCTACCGTTGTGCTTTCATGTGAGTGTGTGGAAGGACATGGATTGTGTGTTTGTGTGTGTGGGGGGGGGGGGGGGGTGTACGCGTGTGTGCGTGCACGCGTGTACGCACTCGCTTTGTGTGACGGACGGTTGCGAGCCGCCCGTTTGTACTTGAACTTAGAGGTCAGTGAGGTGGGGGGGGGGGGGGGGGGGGTGGGGCAGGAGTTGAAAGAGTAGTCAAATTTTTAGCAGTATGGGGGCGAAAGTGTATGGCCAATTCTGTACAACACGACAGTATCGGCACGAAATCGACCGTGATGGCCTGGCAGAACACAGCCGTTGAGTTCAGGACATGTACATGTACAGTCAAATCTGCTGTAGGCGACCATCTACCGTTAGCGACCGATTTTCCGTGCACCGACGGTTTCACATACAAACTGATCTGTCCAGAGCGACCATCTGCTGTGCGCGACCAGCGGCCGCGATTTCATGCACGGTGGCTGCATTCAAATCTGCTGTAAGCGACCGCGACCCAGGTTCAGTCAGGTGCGAAACTGTACTTGCCAGTGCGCTGTCAACTGCAAAGTGTGAAAATGCGCTGTCTTGCAAGTGCGATCGACTGGCGCCTGGCCTGTACTGAGGCTGTGCTGTAGCTCTCAAGTCCAGGCAGTGTCGATCTACTGCATGCCGCGTCGCATACGCGTGCTATACGGGTATGGTCGTCGTTGAATATCCAATAAAATGATATTAAAGGGGAAGTTAAGGCAAAAAAATAAAATTTCACCAGTTGTAGTCTTCGGGGTGCTGAGTCGAATGGTCTTGGTCCGAGAAAGCTAAGACGCTCCTTCCTACTTCGAGTACTCGAATCCCAATCGAACTCGCGCACTTCCACCGAAACTGGGTGACTGCGCCCTACTAGATGGGGATTTGTATGCAAAATGTCACTAAAAGCGCCATTTCGTTCTTATAAAAGCACGGATGACCGCGATTGGCCCATATGTTGTAGTCTTTTGGACGCTGAATCGACTGGTTTTGGTCCGAAAAGGCTGCGATGCAGCGTTCCTCCTTTATTCCCAATCGAACATGGTTGAGCAAGTGGTCACGTGCTCCTGGGAGCCCAAATCACCTGGTCACCACGCCAGCAGGCGACAACTTTTACACCAAGGTTCAACTCGAGTGACAGGACTGCACCCAAAAATGGTCAAACAGGCTAGTAAGTTGTACCCTGCAGGCACGGTGACCAGGTGACTGGCGTACGCAGGAGCACGTGACTGCTTGTTCAACCATGTTCGATTGGGAATAAAGGAGGAACGCTGCATCGCAGCCTTTTCGGACCAAAACCAGTCGACTCAGCGTCCAAAAGACTACAACATATGGGCCAATCGCGGTCATCCGTGCTGTTATAAGAACGAAATGGCGCTTTTAGTGACATTTTGCATACAAATCTCCATCTAGTAGGGCGCAGTCACCCAGTTTCGGTGGAAGTGCGCGAGTTCGATTGGGATTCCAGTAGGAAGGGAGCATCTCAGCTTCCTCGGACCAAGACCATTCGACTCAGCAACCCGAAGACTACAACTGGTGAAATTTTAATTTTTCCCTTAACTTCCCCTTTAAAAATCACATTATTCTCGTCGATTTGAGTACATGGAAGCATATACAGTCAAATCTGCCGTTAGCGACCTCTGCTGTAGGCGACCATCTACCGTTAGCGACCGATTTTCCGTGCACCGACGGTTTCACATACAAACTGATCTGTCCAGAGCGACCATCTGCTGTGCGCGACCAGCGACCGCGATTTCATGCACGGTGGCTGCATTCAAATCTGCTGTAAGCGACCGCGACCCAGGTTCAGTAAGGTGCGAAACTGTACTTGCCAGTGTGCTGTCAACTGCAAAGTGTGAAAATGCGCTGTCTTGCAAGTGCGATCGACTGGCGCCTGGCCTGTACTGAGGCTGTGCTGTAGCTCTCAAGTCCAGGCAGTGTCGATCTACTGCTGTGTCGCATACGCGTACTATACGGGTATGGTCGTCGTTGAATATCCAATAAAATGATATTAAAAATCACATTATTCTCGTCGATTTGAGTACATGGAAGCATATACCTGGTATGCCGGATTTACCATACATCTGCCGTAAGAGACCATCTGCCGGAAGCGACCGCTTTTTCTTGCACCAAGGGGCGGTCGCTTACGACAGATTTGACTGTACCTGGTATGCCGGATTTACCATACATCTGCCGTAAGAGACCATCTGCCGTAAGCGACCGCTTTTTCTTGCACCAAGGGGCGGTCGCTTACGACAGATTTGACTGTATTTGTATTCCAAGGAGTTCTGCATATGCGTGTATGTGCAGAGCTCCCTGGCGTACTCACTGATGCCATTGACAGAGCAGACGCATAGCCCGCATGGGGCACGGGAGGCACGTGCACCCCCCCCCCCCCCCCCTAAATTTCGACCTAGATTCAGCATGCACGTTATGACCGTGAATGGCATGCACCAGCCATCCTACACATATGCGGCCGTGCACCGACCCCCCCCCCCCCCCCCCCCCCAAAAGTGGGACCAACTACGCCCCTGCTAGAGGATTTACGTTAGTGGTGCATGTGGACAATGTGGCCAAGGACATGCTTACCTGCTTACCTATACACAGTGCATGCATACAGGGAACCCTGCCATGCATGTATGTTCCAGTGAGTTCTGACACATAACAGTTACATACCCCTGATGCCATGGCTTGGCTTTAGGATTGCATTGTTGGCAAGACAGTCGGAGTCGCTACGTTTATAATGGTCTTGACCGTACAACAGTTCATACCCCAGATGGTGGAGAATTGATGGGCTGTCACATTTTCCATTCTAAGCCCATTACTTCACGGAGGCAAGACCCCACTCGTCAGGGAGCTGTGCAAACTCGAATATGTTGGCAGTACTGGTAGTGGTTTTCACTAGGTTTCACATTTCACCACCCTGAGATTTTTGTTGGTATGCTTGTGTGGTGCTTTGGTTTGCAGGGAAGCCCCAGGTGAAGTTGTCCTCTACCGCTGGGGAGAGTGGTTGAGAGAGTTCCTTGTCCACCAATCCGAAACGCTAAGTAGTTTATGTACGTGCTGTGGCAACATGGGCCTTGTCAGTGTGTGTGTGTGGGTGTGGGTGTGCTTTTGAACATTTCAACCATATCGGTCTTCTTCAGAATGAAGACCAGTACAGTACTGTCGGGCGCCGAAGAACTGGGGGGGGGCAGGGTTCTAGCCTAGCCCGTTCCTATTTTTAGCGAACACAGCGGTTTCGTTCTTATTCGATGGTACAGTCTTACATGACTACACTTATGCAGAATTATACGTATGAGTGTACATTATAGTGTACATTATAGTGTACATTATAGTGCGCATTACAGACTTACAGTGTCCGTTCTTATCTGCAAAAAATCCAGCCTAGACCGTCCTTAGAAATTCTAGCCTGGCCATTCTTCGGCGCCCGACAGAACTGTATGGTCGAAACGTTAAGATTCTTCTATCAAGTCTTGCTCCTGTTATGTGGTTCGGCTACCTACTGTTGCATGTTATGTCTGTCTGTCTGTTTGTCTGTCTGTCTGGCCGTGTGTCTGTCCGTGTATCTGTCTGTCTGTCTGTCTATCCATGTGTCTGTCCGCGTGTCTGTCCGTGTGGGTGTGTGTTTGTGTGCGAGTTTGTATGACTGTGTGTACATGTGTGTGCATGCAAGCATGCATCATGACTGCATGTGTTTTGTCCGTGAGTCCCGTATTGCAGCCTTTCCATGTACATTGCGTTGTATTCTTAGCGGGTCTGTTTTTGTCCTCACTCACTCACAGGCACAGGACCTGATGAAGATCGACATTCTCCGAATCACATAGCAGCGGCCCCTGCTGCCAGCACTGCTGCTGTAGCTGCAGCTGCTGAGAGTCTAGCTGATGATACAACCGGTCTCAGCCAGGTGAGCTGATTTGTCCACAGAATGTACCGCATTTTTTCAGAATGTACCCGTATGTCTTTGTTCTATTGCAGGGACCACCATAAGTGTTGCCATTTACCTTTGGAGTACAAAACGTTGGGTTTTCCCTCTTCAACTCCTTCAAACTGATGACTTGTTTGTCGATGTAGCACCTTTTCCCCTTTTTTACTGTCACTGGTTACTTGTAGTTGTGAATGACTGCAGATGGAGTCAGTGCGAATTACTGTGGAAGAGGAAACTTCTCCTTTCTCTTTCTTCTCTTTCCGATGTCTCTCACCTTCCTTTACATTTCTCTTGAGAAAGCGCTACAGTACTGTCGGGCGCCGAAGAACAGAACGCCGAAGAACAGCCTCGGGCTAGAATTTTACCAGGCTAGGAGGCAGACCCCCTCCCCCCCCCCCCCCAGTTCTTCGGCGACCGACAGTACTGCACATAGGTGAGTGTTCCTAGAATATCTGCAACATATTATTTCTCTTTGCTGTCGCCATACAGCGCACTATCGCAGCACTGTCCTTATCTGATCATCCAGAGCCCAGGCCAGCATCTCACAGCCACAGTCACGTCCAACAGGCACACGCCACTCCGGAGGTGCAGCAGCAGCAGCCGTCCAGCATGGGCGGAGGACCGCGGCGTGCTGTGCAGATGGTGGGCAAGGCAGCTGCACGACTGCAATCAGGTCAGTGCAGCTCTGTAGTGATCCATACATGTCGCCAAGCATAGTGCATTTCTTCAGTGGTGCAGACATGTCACCTAGTCACCAAGCATAGTGTAGGTCTGTAGTGATGCATACATGCCATCTTTATGTCACCAAGCGTACTCTTGGTATTGGTGCCGTGGTGTAATGCACACATGTCAAGCATACTCTTGGTCTTGGTAGTGTGGTACATACATGTCAAGCATACTCTTTGTCTCCTCGCCACGGCTTCTTCAGTTTGCTACAATGCGCTGCTACTTGTAATTGTAAAAATTAATGGCTATATTTGATGAAATTTTAGGAATTGGTGATTGTTTGTGTTTTGTTTCTGCAGAAAAAGCACCAACTATTCTGCATGGTGAAACAATGACGGATCGAAAGAGCACGTTTCAGCCTCACTGCGCAGCCGTGACCACTCTGGACCAGGTAGGTTAACACAATGCACATACAGTCGAACCTCTTTAGGACGAACACCAAGGGACCGACGGTATTTGTTCGCAATAACGGGAGTTCTTCTTATCCATAATATGCCTTACCCAGGTAATACACAGTGATGAATCCAATAGCGCTTGGAATTCTAGTTCTTCTTAAGCGAAAGTTTGTCTTATCAGTGTTCTTCTTAACGAGGTTTCACTGTACTTGTACATGTATGCCTCTCTGTAACTGTAGTTCAGAAATACATGTCCCTGATTTACGTGTGTGTGTGGGGGGGGGGGGGGAGAGATTGAAGGATAATAGGCCAAGTAATGTGCCGCTTCCAATGCCGGTGCTATGACGGCCCAGATGTGCAGCTTGCCTTCATCTTCACCTGACTATCATTGTCATTGTTGTCGTCATCATTATCGACAGTAGCAGCACTTCCATCTCCCGCTGCTATGCTGGACGAAATACCTACTCTCAGAGCACACTATTGCCGTAATAAAAGCCCGTTGTTGCTATAATCACGGTAACTGTCTGTAACTGATATGGTTGGTGCTTCAGATCCGTGGCAGGATTTAAACACCACAGCTATCAGTGGGGAATGCGGTGCTGTGTGAAGGAGTGTGGTAAAGTGTTGATTCAGTGTTGTGTATATGTGTGTGTGTGTGTGTGTGTGCGCGCGCGCGCGTGCGTGTGTGCATGTGCATGTGTGTGTGGGATATGCATCTAGGTCAAGCTGGTGCAAGCAGAGTTGTTGACCAATCGAAAGATAGCATCCGCCACACATAACATTATGGCCTACAGGTGAGCAAGGCTGTCCATGCACTCGCCACACACTCGCCACGCACTGTCCATGTATTGTCCATGCACTATCCATGCATTGTCCATGCACTCGCCATGCACTGTCCATGCACTGTCCATGTACTTTCCATGCACTCGCCATGCACTATCCATGCCCGAATGACCGGTTCAGGCGGTGAGCCAGCCTGGCACTAACACCTAAAACTGGTACTGTGGGTCTGATGAGGTATTGATAGGATTCACGAACCTATGACGCATCCTGAGCGTTTGCCCTGTAAGACCTCTATCCTGTACTCTGCTGGCATGTGCTGCCCTTGACTGTATGTATGTATGTATGTGTATACCATGGTAACCTTGACCCAATCAAGTTGTTGTTGTTGCTGCTGCTGCTGCTGCTACTGTTATTGTTGTTGTTGTTGTTGTTGTTGTTGTTGTTATTGTTGTTGTTGTTGTTGTTGTTGTTGTTGTTGTTGTTGTTGTTGTTGTTGTTGTTGTTGTTGTTGTTGTTGTTGTTGTTGTTGTTGTTGTTGTTGTTGTTGCTGTTGTTGTTGGCATTTGTTGTGGTGATGGCTGGCGGTATTGGCGGTGGTTAGAATATTTGATGAAGCTCGCAACGCCTGGCTGCAGGACAGTGATGATGATGGAGAGACTGCTGCTGGATCACGCATGCTACATCTTATGCAGGTTGGTCACGCTTGCTAGTAGCATTGCACCGTGCTGCAAGTAAACTTGGTCAAAGCACTGCTGCATGTTAACTTGATTTTGATTCTTTCTGTGCCAGCAGCTGGCATGATCACCTAGTCGCAACACAATTTCTTTGCCTGGTGAGCAAATTGCCAGGAAAGTGTTGAAGATTACGTGAAAGATACCATTGAGCTGAACGTGCCGAGCAGTTTACTCAAACAACGGCAATTCCAGAACTGTATCCAATCCTCAGAGTGAATCAATGGAGCTAACCGACCGTACCGTATTTTCCGAGTATAAGACGCACTTTGAACTCAAGATTTACTCAAAAAAGGGGGATGCTGCGTATACTTCAATGATCAACTTTACAGTGATAAATAGTGTAGATGTCTGTATTTCGTGGCAAAAAGGGGGGAGGGTACAGCTTTACACTCCAGAAAATACGGTATTTTTATTTTGGATGCAGCATAATCAGTTATGGGGCTTGAAAGTGATGACGTCAAAAACGGCCAGGGAGTACTAAGTTGACATCAGATTTCTATTTTGGATCCACTAAGGTGTGACTTTGCTATTGCCTCAGTGTGTGGGTGCATAGCAACCCACTCATGTCGTATGCAGGGGTGATTTTTACTTCGACACCAGTTGTAACCCCGCCCCCAGTAGCCAAATCAGTAAGTTTCACTGGTTACATCACCTTGCTGTGAGTAAGACGGCTTGAAATGTGCTTGGATCCATACAAAAACTGGATCCAAGTGGATCCAATTTTTGAATTTTTGAAATTGTTGCTATGCTGTGACGTAGCACTTTCAAGCCCTATTATAGTACTCTCTCTAGTCTCTATACTTCCTGATGAAGCCTGAATGCGAACATTTAGAGGTTACTTTATTGTAATTGCAGTGAAAGGCCGTGGTGGTGGTGGTGGTGGTGAAAGTGTTAGAGGCGGATGGTTAATTGGCTGCAGTGGAGCCTTCGAGTATTGAAGAGAGTGTCAGCAGAGCAGTGAAAAAGTATTGCTGCCGTCCCTAGCTCCAATTCTCTTAGCTCTTGTCCCATCGCTTGTGACAGAAGCCCATCGAGTTCATCTACTGCGGATGTCAATTCGCAAATGGCAACCCGCCTGAGACCTATGTCCTTGCTGTTTCTACTTTTTAAAGGAGCATATTCTTGTGGAGAACGCTTCGTCTTAGCAGGAGGCTAATCCAGCTGGGCTCCACTTTGCACATGTACTTCAGTAGCTTCTATACTGTGATGGCTGATTGTACTACGGCCGTGCAGGCTACCTGCACAGCAATGTCTCAAAATGCCCGTCACTTTTCATTTGTTGAAGAGGTTGGTAAAAGTGGGCATTGAGTGGTCTCGTTTGAAACATAGCATCCCAACGCGACCTTGTGCAACAAACAAACTGTGGAGACAGCTACCCATCTTGCCGTTGTCATCTGTAGTGATGTCTGAAAGACTGGGGTGGTCGACATCCTGTCAGACTAGAGTGTCTGCATCCGGTTGTGCAGTCAACTCCACAACTACGACCCACTTCCTCAGTACTATCATAGAGAGGTGCGGGTCCGGCAAAGAAGAGAAAACAGGGAGTAAGGTATTGACTTACTCAGGTCAGTAGGAGGAACTATTCCCAGCTGTAATACCCAGTAAACTTTGCTGCATGATATCTCAGCTGTCATGTTGTCATAGACCAACACACATCGAGTTTTAGAAAAACTGTTCAACCATAACAGTGAACAGTTTCTGCTTGTGTCCGTGTTGTGCTTGTAGATTTTAGATGTGAAGAATGTGGTGGTGATAGTCACTCGCTGGTAAGGACACTGTTCTCTCTCTCTCTCTCTCTCTCTCTCGCTCTCTCTCTCTCTCTCTCTCTCTCTCTCTCTCTCTCTCTCTCTCTCTCGCTCTCGCTCTATCAATCTCTCTCTCTCTCTCACTGAGTGCACCTGTACAATCTAGTGTCGTCATGTGATCTAGTGTCGTCATGTGATCTAGTGTCACGGACTCATCATGATTGTGTTGTTGCCTTCAGGTACGGTGGTATACATCTGGGTGCCGACCGCTTTAAGCACATCAACAGCTGTACGCGCTCAGTGCTTGTGCAGTTTGGTGCCGTTCCAGAAAAGGTGAGTGTTCACGGAATGATGCCTTCAGCATGAATGTGTGTTTTCCACTCACTCATGTTTCACTGTTGACAAGGAGAAAGTTTCTTATGTGTAGCTTTACTCACTGGCAGATTTAGCACCAGGCTTCTAGCCAAAGGAGGGTGAGGGGGGGGGGGGGTGCAGCCCCCCCCCCCCCCCCCCCCCCGCTCTGATGGTGCCCCCCCCCCCCTACTCTGATAGTATACCACTCTACTCATTTTTCAATTTTTGTGCTTGCTGCGCCCGTACGTTGCATCTTGCGTGACAAGGCAATAGTGGTACACAGAAAAATGGGTGAACTGGTTGTGCCCCCCCCCCCCCCCCACACACGCACACATTTTTTTCCTGGCTAGAACCCAGACCACTATTTATTTTCATTTTGTAAATACTGCAGTAGAGTATTAAAAGGAAACGAGGAAAGCAGCGGGGCACAAGTTAGGCGCTAGAGTCCACCAACTAAACCAGATTTTGAACAGCCAGACGTACACCTAGCAAGATTTGGTACCACGAGTCAACGGTTTCATCAAAAGTCCGGCGTAATAGCGAACGATGCCAGAGCATCGACAAGATCTGAAGCGAGCGAGATGTGGAGCGAGTGTTGGTGGACTTAGGAACGGGGATAGCCAGGCGCGCCAGCAAACCAAAATGATCACTGATGGCCAATGGCAGCACTTCGTGAGTTCCATCGAGCGCAGCAGATGAGAGGAACAAATCGATCATCTTCCGGGAAAGACTTGTGATCCGAGTTGGGGAATGCACGTAGTTGACCAGACCGGTGTTCGCGCAAACGTCATGGAGGGGGGGGGGGGGGACGAGGGGCTATGGATCATGGATGTCAACATTAAAGTCTCCAAACAGAGTGACCTATCCCGCAGCTGTTTCGGTTACACACTCCAACTTTGCCTCTAGTTTCTCCAGTATGCGACAGGTTCTGATGGGGGTCTGTAGCAGCAGCCAAACATGTTTTTTCTGCGGTCAATTGTTACCTCTAGCCAAAGCAATTCCAAATCGGGTGACTCCAGTTCTCTGCAACGCCTCACCACAAGGCTCTTATGGCAGTAAATAGCAACTCCGCCGCCATGACCGCCTCTGTCCTTTCGGTGTAGAGTGAAATGGGGAATGGAAAGTTCACGATCATAAAAGCTGTCATCCAACCATGTTTCGGCCAGACACATAAACACGATACCTCGAGTGGCGACAAGCTGCTCGATGTCTGTGACCTTGCACCCTAGACTACATACATTCAGAAACGATAATGGTAGAAAATATGTATTTTCTGATAATATATAAAAAAAAAGAGGAGAAAACACATGAGACCGAGTTATGCAGCCAGCAACTGTCCACGGCTGTATCAAGATGATCATAGAAACAGTCAGAAAGTGCGATAATACTAATAGGGCACAAACTGACTGGCTACTGAGACATTCAGCGACCTGAGACCTACCTCTAACACACCTCCAGTGCGCAAACCAGCGGCCTGTCAGTAGCCTGTCAGTTTTGTACCATATTATTGCACTTTCTGACTGTTCATTATATTGTTACAGTCGTGGATAGCTGCATAACTCGTTCTCATGTGTTTTCTTCTCTTTTTTACATTTATTATTGGCTCAGAATCCGAGTTAATATTTTGTGATAGGACCATAATTAAAGCTTAAGTTATAAATACATGATGCGATGCTATCCTGAAACACATACCACTGTCTTGGCGTACGATTCGATGGAGAGGGGCCGCTAGCACTGTGATGCACTTCCCATGGGCTGCTTTCTCTTGCGTGACATTATCCTCAGTTCTGTCGGGGGTGACACTTGGGCGGGAACGCTTGGGGTTGCCCTAATTGACTTCGCCTTCGCATGAAGCCGCTTTGCAGTCTTGAGCCGGTGGCCGGTGTTGATGGTGGACATTTTTGGTCTGGTTTGATGGTACTGCTTGCCCCAGGGGTTCATGAGCTGAGCTGTTTGGTGTACCACCCACTTCTTCTGTCTCTGAGGAGCTTGACTGATGGTCATCGTCTGATTCGCTATCAGATTCTTTGCCTTGTCGGTTACCTTGTCGGTTGCCTTGACGGTTGCTTTGTGTGTTGGCAAATATGTCTGAGAGAGGTACCTCCGCTCGCTGCTCAGACTCGGTGGAGAGTAGGCTGGCGTTGTTTTCGTTTTTCTTTTCGGACGACGAGTCCACGGCTCTGTTGTTGGACGAAGTCTCGGTGGTTGGTTTGGTTAGTTGAGTCTTTTCCGGGCAGTCCTTGGTGATGTGCCCTGGCTTGCTGCATAGCCTGCATGTGGGTGTTTGTTCAGCATGGTACACGCGGAAATTGCTCTTCCCGTCCCGTAATTTGACGTACAATGGTACGGTCTTGTTTGTGCCAAGTTTGAAGGTGGCGAACCTCACCCCTGTCGCAATGAAATGACATCTCGGATTTGAAGTCTACCATGGCGTATGGCACCCGGCACTGTACCGTACTGAGACAGTGCAGCTTCTACGGCTCCATCAGTCACCCACACAGGAATGTCATGAGTATGGAGCTGGGCGTTGGGGTACCCGCCAAACATTCAGGAGAAGTATGCCGTCCATTGAGCACGAAGCCGTTCTTGGACACCAAACTGGCTAATGATGATTCCGTAAAGGTTATTCTACACTGCCCCGGGGAACTCCCCTGTACAGACAGGATCACCTCAGCCTCGATTCCATGATTTTCCAGGCAATGCACGTAGGTGGCCAGCTTGATATCTCTGACTGCCGGAAAAACAACTGTCCGGGCCATCAGTTCTCTGGCGCTCGGTGTTCTCCACGGCTCCACGGATGCTTCCATAGCTTCACTGACTTCACCACTGCTCCCAGAGGCCCCTGGAGAGGGATCCCGCTAGGCAGCATGTCTAAAACAGATTTGGGTCCGAGCTCGAAAAACCGCATCCGACTTCAAGTTCGAATTCCAATGACTGCAAGTACAATGTAGTACAGGTCAAGTCATTGATGTGTGCCAACTCTCCACTGACACTAGTCATGTATCCTTTTCTTGATATCAGAACAGGGTTGAGTGAGTGAACAATTGGTGCGGTAAGAGCCTGACTGGCGGCAGCACTGATTGCCACACCCCAGGGCCCTGTCCTCCACCTTGTGCACCAAGGTTTTCCTACACTGAGTAGAATAATAGGGAACCTAAATAGTACTAAGCGGTACAAGTAGGAGATGGACACATTGGATCCTTTTGAAATTTGTACAAATACACGCCCCCGGCCTGTGCTAGGGATTGGGTTCATTTTTGCCTCCCGGGTGCAATGCGTGGGTGCCTTTCTTTCTTTGCATCATCATTTTTTTATGCGGTCAATAAAAACAGGAGATTGACATAATATTATTATTTCGAAGTCGACAGCATGTTACAAGGCGGAGGACGCAGAGTGCTCCTGACCACAATCATGACCCCTGCCTTGTAACATGCTGTCATAACCCCTGCCTTGTAACATGATGTCGACTTCAAAAACATGTTAACCCTGTCAAGCAAGGCTTCTATAAGTAGGAGATTGGTGAGTCGCCATAGTGACAACGGTGATGTTCACAACACTGTCCTGAATTGTCCATGCCACTCACTGGCGTGTGCCTAAAAATGGCTTCACAGGAGGTTCTCTCCACCACAAGTAGCACTCCACTATCCTAGAGCTGGTCTCTTACTCACAACTCACCGTTGTCTTCTGCCAATGATCTGTCACATTGCCGCTGTGAATGCAGGAGCAGGCAAAGTCGGGAAAGGGCAAGAAGAGCAAGAAGTAGACTGATTACCAGCACACGTACACCTGCCTGGACTGAAACCGTCAGTTCACAACTCTGCTATGACCTTTAAGGCTTGTGTAACTTATTTTGTGCTGTGTTCTGCGCACGGCTTATTATTTTGTAGATGCTCAAAGGACTGATGACAGATTGTAGCGTTAGGAGTGAAGTTTAAAAGTGCAAGGAGCTAGTGTGCTCGTTGCATGGCTTGACTGCTAGGACAGTGACCACACCGCAGTACTGTACAATGCATATATGCATATGCACAGTGACCACACCACACTACTGTACGGTGTACTGGCTGGCTAGCACTCCGTGCTGGGAACACAGCACCGTGTGACGGTGCGGCACCACCACCATATGGGTGGTAGCCTAACCTAGCTTCTGTGTTGACAGGCAGCCAGGTGCTTATCAAGTTATAGTAGCAATGTGACCTACATCCAGTGCATGCAGTTGGCCTGTTGAGCTTCTCATTCAGTGCAGTGACTTGTATTGATCATGTTCTTTCTTTCTAGAAACTCATCTATAGCTGATGGTGGGTAGTGGTTCAGCAATTTTTTTAAATATAATTTCCCTCTTGCTCTTTAGGTATTAGATAAGGCTGATCTATTTTCAAAGAGTATGCAGCAGCAGCTGAAATAAAACTGCTGCTTTCGGCCTGTTTATCAATTTTTTAAATCAATTTCAGCGCTGTATGGAGGAAATTTATTTGTCAGTATCTACAACTTGGAGTCCTGTTGCTGGTGTAATGGTGTCGGCTAGAGAGATTTGGTCGAGGTGGATTTGCTTCATTTCATTGATCGATTTTCCTCTATAATAGCAGTGTATCCGTTATAAAGTTCCTTGTATCTGTGCCATGGTTACACGGAGGTATGGTCTGGGATCTAAATGACTGGTTTAGCGTACACTAGTACAGTCTGTATCGGCTATAGCGTACCCTTTTGATTTCCGTGATTTTATCACTATAACCGATGCATCACTATATGCGATACGATCGATTTTTTTCTTTTTTCGATCGACGCATGAAAGGCAAGGAAATACTTCCAGCTAGCATGGCGTTTTGACAAATGAGCATGCTGCATAGTTGACAGTGCCCGCATTTCCATAAAAATATTCTGTTATGTACATGTACATGTATCACTATAAAAATAAGCAACGTGAAGAAAGTAAAAAAAATAGGGCCTTTGATATCATTGCTACATGTATTTTAAAGTTATCACTATAGCCGATAATAATATAGTGTGTTATGCATGTTTTGATTCTTTGTTGCCATCATAATATCCGATATATCATTACATCCGATAATATTGGTTATAGTGATATTTGTATTGGACAAAATACGTTTTGCTTTTGATATTTCGTACCAATTTCACTGTAGCCGATATATTCTTATATCCGGTCACTCTATAGCCGATACAGACTGTACTATACTTGCGATGTCCATGCCAATGAAGAAGTTTGTTTAAGGGAAATTACCAAAGGAACAGTTGCTTTGCCTGTGGTACGTGACTTGTCTCAGATTAATCATTGCCATTGGGTTATGTGGATGATGCATTGATACCCTCCACGGCAGGGAAGACCAATCTTCAGAGCTCTCGACTGGGACTGCAATATCTGAGTCGCATTTCGACTCGCGCGCGCGCACACACACACACACACACACACACACACACACACACACACACACACACACACACACCTGCTTCCATACACAAGTCGACGCCTGTGCATCTCAATCATCCTGCACGGCGGATCATTCAATGATAAATTTATTATTGTTGCCTAACGAAATTAAAAAAATATCTTGAATCATGAACGGTCAAGCCTGTCCAGACTGCTACTATCCAAGGTCAGTAGAGTTCGGGTGTATTCGAATTGTCTTCTTCAACTTTTCGAGCAAACTCATTTTAGAATAGTTGAACGGTTTCCATCATTTTTGGAGTTTTTCAGTGGAAAATTGGAAATGTCATGGCGATAATGACGTCCGATCCGATCGGCCATCTCGACTTAGCTATTCCAAACGCTTGTGGCTCAATGTAGCTGAACCATCGGACCTTATTTGTCAGCTTGGATCACGTGATCCATCCAGCTGCCGCGTGCGGCAAACAGCCCAAATAGCGCTAACTCTGGCCTGCGAGCGTTTGCTGCGACTAGCGCGCTAGCGCTCGTGACATACACAAACGCGCTAGCCAGAATGCTTTGACTTTGATGGCTTTCAGCTTCTATTTTTTGAAAAGTAGCGCGCTCAGACCAGCTCGCTCACTCTTTTCCTCTTCCATTTTTTAGGGCAATTGTTTTGTTTGATAGACGAAGCTTAGGGTCTCTTTGGGTTTGCAACCCTTACCCTCCTGGAAAAAATCATAGTTGTGCTAGACTGCGACACTTCAGACCAGGTACTATTAGAGCCGCTAATGGACGACGAGCTATTTTCCGCTATCCGGAGCTCAAGCATTTGAGCCGCTAAATGGACGAGACTCCTGAGGTAAAGGATGCAGAGAATGAGGAGAGAACACTCGTATGGAGCAGGGAGTAGGTAGTGTACTACTTCCTGGTATGGAGCACTGAGAAGCGGTAAGTCTTAGGGCAATTCTTAGCCAGTAATTACTTTCTCGCCATAATTATGTTCTCGTTTTTCGTGTCTTCTGTAATGCCAGTACACTAGCAGTACGACTACACTGTAGGCGAGAGTCCATAAGCCAGAGTGTGCAGCTCTCCATCTATGCAGCATAAACAAATAAATGACAAATTTCCTTTGCCTAAGGGCTGGGTTCCACTGCCGCTCCGCCGCACATCATCCACGGCATGAAACGTCATCATTACGAGCTGGTCCAGCGAGGCCGCGGCTCATCACCAGCTTTCGCTTCGCTGCTTGATACAAAAAAATGCAAGCCGCGGTCACGGCTTGCATTGTTTCCCGCACTTAATTGTTTTATTCGGGGGAATTTTAATTCGTTGCACAGGCCAGAATACGAGGATTTTTTTTGGATTTCACGCGCGCGCAGGCAGGCTAAATGTCATAAAAAAAACGTCGAGCACGATCGCGGTACCGTGAATGGCGAGTGTCACTGGAACCGCGCCGCTCTGCTGCATGCAGCCAAGTACCGTGGAGCAGCGGAGCTGCGGAGCCGCAGTGGAACCCGGCCCTAACCAAACTTATAGCAATTTGAAAATGTTTGACAATTTTTCATAAAAAACTTGACAACATTGTTCTTCTGTAGAGTGCCGCTGGCAACTCCATCGATGAACTCCATCAATGAGCGCAGGGATAAAGTTTAGAAACCCTTCGAGCGAGAACGTGTTTTCAAAAAGGAAGCACAAATATGCCGCGTAACTTCCCCTCTAGTACTGTATGGCTCCATCAAAGCCACTCGCTGACTACTTACCAGTAAAATGGGGTTGGACGGTTGTCAGATTAGCTGACATGTTTTCTGCCAACACAACCATAAGCAGTTGTCAACTCTCAAGACTAAAAGAGCTTGCGAAGAAAGTGAGAAACCTTGGCTATGAAAGCACATGAAGCGTCAGAACATAATCGAGCAAACTTGGACCTAGATTACCAGTGTCTGCTCCAGAGCCGGGTCAGTGGCCCTGTTTGTGAGTACTTGGACCTTTTGGAAAAAGAACACTGGGTTACCTGCGACCCGGTCGGAAGTCCTGTCGAGTACTATACTTTTTTATACCGTTCGAGGGTATACCGCCACTGACAGGCTGCATACGCGTGCAGATGCGTGCGGCCAGAGTGCCCAGTGCGAGTACGTTCATACATGTACATGTACAATCATGTACATCAGGAAGTCGAAAGTAAGTTTACGACTCCCTGACACACAGTAGCCGCACTTGAACGCATCTGGCTCTGGCCCAGTGTTGCAGGAATTGTGCCAGGTAGACGTGTACCCGGTTTGTGTTAAATCTTAGAGCAGGTACTGCATACCCTATCATATCTGTGTACATGGGTAGACAGAGTCAGTGTTGTTGCGTCCCACTCAGCCGCGTGACCCTTCTGGTTCATTTCGGCACCAGCACTCTTTGCGTATGCAGAGTTGAGTAGAGTGCAAGTTCGGACCACAAGTACAAAGTACACTGCAGCGGCTAGTAGCAAACCTAACCTGTGCCGTGATGCCCGGCACGTGTGTGCATCTACTTCATCCCTGAGTAACACACCTGGTATATTGTGCACAATAGGGCACAGTAAATAATCAGCATGCATCGCAGTTTTCTGCAACATATTCCTGAAGTCACTTTACACCTCAGAAGAATTGCGTCGCTGACTGGAATTCGATACCGGTTTAGTTTCTCTCTGGGTCATTATCAATCATAGAAAACCCGTCATACAATAGGTTCAAGCTAAAGTACCGTATCACCATGGTAATTACCTGGAAATTCGGTGTGTTTTCTACGTTTTTGTTTAACAAGCAGCAATGTGCAACAGAAATTACCATGGTGATAGAGTAGATGACCGTGTGAAGCGGTGTGTGATGCAGCAAAGGTGAGCCTGTTACTGCGAGTCTATGCCCTAAACTACGGCTCAAACGGGTGTACCTTTAACTAACGAACGGGTAATTTTCTTAACGGGCGGGTTAACGGGTACCCTTTAGCAGCCATATTATTTTTGTGTGCATTTATCACATAAATCATGATTTTTAAATTTGTATATTCTCAGGTTGTATTTTGATACCACATTATGATTCGCATTCTATTTATTCGTGTCTCATGATAATATTATGGCAATGAAGGTTCCAAATTAATGTCATCCGTACATTTGCCCATAAACATAACTTCACAGGCAGTTACAATCGTACATGGTCCTAGTGCTACATGTATTTTGATACATGTACGCAAATCAACTGCAGATCGATGTGATTCAAGCCATGCAAGGACAGAATAGTTTAGCAAAACTCCCGTGATCTCGCCCAATCCTATTTGCTATGTTCGCAGAGAACTGGTACTCTTCCCATTCAGAAGATGTTTGCACCCATTGCTAGCTGGGGTGCCTGACACAGCTGATGTGCTGCTGGCCAGCTAGCTGCTAGTGCTAGCTCGTTGAACTCGTGAAACGAATCTTCACAAATCTGTAATCTTGTATGCAATATTTTGAACAACTTTTCAACTAAACCGAGTTCGTCGATTGAAGGAACAAACTACAACCATGAGTATCATAGCTACCACCTACGAACATCGCCGTGTGTGACACTCCGACTGGTCACTCAGCCTGGTGACACTAGTTCATTTTCAAGTACTGTGGCAGGTTCGATGTCGATGTCGGAGAACCATCGTAACTTTCTAGTAACTGAGCTGCCACCTCGAACGACTCGGTTTCAAGTCTTGCATTTTCTCATATTACAATCAAAAACCTCCAGTACGAGGATTTTTACTTGGACTAGAGTGGAGAGAACGGCTGTCTTTCAGCCTGCTCCTGCCTGACAAAGTCGAAAGCGGGAATGCACAGGAAAAGGAAAAGAGTATCCGCACTCCTATTTTGAGTCTTGGCATACGATAGGATCATCGAAATCCAACTTTTTTTTTTTTTTTTTTACAAACGGGTACCCTTTTACTAACGGTACCTGAGATTAACGGGCGGGTACCCAGGTACCCGGAACACCCGTTTGACCCCTACCCTAAACAATAAACTTTGCCGTGGGATGATTCTCTTTGGGCTGCACACTCTGGTTAATGTACTCTTGGTGGCAGCATTCTGGTGCCAAAGATGATATTTTTTCAGAAAAATAAGCACTAGAGAAATGGAGTGGGAGTAACCAGAATTATTCTATTAGCAGAGCTGCAATACTTGGGATATGAGATTATTCCCGTAGCTATGCAAAAGACGCTATTCAGTTGTACTTTAGTAGCATCTGGCGCTAGCC